GTGCTTCCAACTGGCGGTAAAAAAAAATAGGAACGCTTGGATGGAAAATTACCACCAGTTCCATTAGCAGTGAAGTACATGAGAGAGGCTGACTCAGAGCCTCAGGTGACATTATATATTGCCTCAAGGAGTGGGTGACTGTCAGAAGATGCTAGGGGGACCTACCAGGCATGGGACAGAGAGGGCAGGTACACAAGTAGGTGGGTTTAGTTTGTTTTATGCTTGAGACAGGAGACTGAAACTATGTGTGAAAAGTACATTGTTGCCAGTCTAGGTCAAAGAATCCTAAAACCTTAAAGTGAGTGATCATTTGGTCCAAATTCATTTCACAGATAGGGACACTGAAGCCCCAACGCAAGTGACTTGCCCAAGGCCATGAAGTGACATAGCCACATTGGGTTGTAGGTTCTTGACTCCTGCCTGCAGTGCTCTAGACTTGAGTCAGTTTTATATTCAGGGGCAGAGCTTATTATTTAAGGCAGTTCAGTGGAAAGCCCCATATACTGTGATTAATGAACTTGTCTCCTCTCTTCCAGGCTCTCACATACTAGTTTTAGGCTCTGGTGGGCCATATTCATAGGTACCTGTGAAACAGTCTGTATACTCAGCTCTCTGTGGGACAGGAGCTACTTCTACTTAATTATGAAACTATAAATCCTGGCTGTCCTTACAATATAATAAATATGTGTATAATATAAAATAAGGAATTGCATGCATTTGGGAAGCAAAGGCATCTCAAGGCTTTCTTCATGGATTATTTCTCCATTATAAGAACTTTAGTTTTAATCAGCCCTGGCTAATTCCCTACTGACTATAAAATTCAGGCCCTGCCCTTTGCCTGATGCCAGGGCCTCTGCCTCCAGAGGCCAGGGCTGCAGCAGCCACCAGGAGGATCTAGGGTGACAGGCCTCCAGGAGTCCCCTTGTCCCTGCCCACCTTCTGGAGGGCAGGAGAACCATTGGCTGATGCACTGACCTTCCAGTGATAGGAGTATTCCTTTTGGGGATGTTAGAGAAAGAAGTCTCTAGTTCCTACCTAATTTTTTTCTCAAGAATGAAGTCAGAGCCCCAAGAGGCCATGCCCGTTGCCTGCACCCCTACTCGTGTATACCTTGGATTTGGTGCTCAAGCAAAGCCACCAAGGGCGTGAGTACACACACACGCACACACACACATGCACGTGTATGCACAAAGAGCACGTTACCATTCAGCAATTCTACTCACTCCTAGGGACACACCTTAGAGAAACTTGTACACGGGAACAAGGGGACATGCACGAGAATGTTCCTAGCAGTCTTGTAATGGAAAAAACAAAGAAATGTCTAAATGTACATCAATAAAAGAACGGGATGGTGGCCTCTCCATACAATCGAATATTATACAGCAGCAAACAAATACATAAGTTAATAAATAAATAAACAAATGGGTTAGAGCTAAATATGTCCGCATGGGTGAAGCTCAGAATTTTAATGTGGAACCCAAATAGTGGGATGTAATTTAAATAAAGTTTAAAACACAAAGATACTCTTATGCTGCTCAGAGCTTATGTATACATGGAGGGAAGGGGTGAAGACACGTTTGGGGCGGGGAGAAACATGGCACTCTCCTGAGTGAAACCGAGGGGACTTTGATGGCATTCATCAAGTTTTATAAAACGCGGTAGTGGCTTATGAGTGTTTATCAAATTATTGTTTGTGCATTTGATGTGTCTCAAATATTAAGTGAAAAGGAAAAAGAAAACACCGGGCACCTGACCCAGTCGGAAATGATTTATTTACCACGGAAAGGTTTTTGCTCCCAAGTGTGACACCAGACATATGACTACAATGTCTCATGCGTCTTTTTGTGCTTCGGTTCATGATTGCAAAACAAACACACACTTAGCACTGACAACAGGAAACACAGGTGGCAGAAACAAATCACAAGGACTAGGTAACTCTTTTAGGGGTCCTCGCCTTGATTTGGCTTAGGCTGCAGCTACCTCCCCTCAAGACTCCTTTACATCCCAAAGGAACTGGCCCTGGCGAGTTTCTCTTTCATCTTACCGTCTCTACATAGCGTCATTTGGAGTGATGGGCCACTCAACCCACACCAAGGATCATATCTCAAAGTGAAATGGACAGACACGTGCAAGGTCTTGACTGATGAGCACTCGGCAGATACACTCGGATTTGATGTGAGAAGTAGAGTCACAGATTAATGAGGGTGGACTCCCAGTTCTCTATCCCCGTCACCGTATCTAGGAAAGAACCAGGTCACCTTGGGGTCCCCAGCTGGGTCTACAATGGGTTCTCCCTTTATTTTCACCTCGCTCCACGCCCTTCTTAGAAAACGCTCCCTGGCCAAGTACAAGGGGTGCCTTTCAAAAACGATCTGTTGATTTCACACAGACTCAATCACTCTAAGTTGGTTGTAAATCGCACATGTGTCTGGTACAAGATACCCAGAGGGGAAGATTACTGAAGTTTGTTGATTTGGGGGTCTGAGGTCTCTGGGCAATTTAAAATTCACCAAGACGGAGTTTTGGTGGAAAACCATAGCAATTATATTCTCTTCTGTCGTTTGTTACATTTGTATGGAGATATATGAGTGGTCATTAGGTGATGGGGGTACTCACCTGTGAACGTTTAGGCCGACTGCTGAGACGGCTGATGCTTTTACCATTGAGAAGTCAGGGCAGAGTGATTTTTATGCCACTTATGGTCTCTTTTTCTGTCCAGTCCCCTATCTATCCTTCACTCATTAATTCATTCAACAGATATTTATTGAGGGCCCACGAGCTAGCTTTATTCTAGGTTCTTGGAACACACCAGTGAACACAACAGACAAAATCCCGTGCAAGACCTCCCTCATTCCTGGGCAGGCGTGCTAAGTGAAATGGTGCTCAACACTGAGATGTTCTGTGGTGGCATCTGACTCCTATCAGGGACAACCTTGAGCTTGGATTCTGGAGAACAAAACCCTTGAGATACAAAGAAATGGATGCCTCGTGATGGAATGACCATAGGCAGGGCTGCTATTTCTGACATCAGATGTTCCCCAGCCTACCTCAAACATCCTTCAGTATAACTGTGAGGCAGGTGCATAGGTTTATAAGGAAGTAGAACTTGTGTTTCCTGATGTTAAGTCTAGAATCCAGACTTTTCTACATTGGAGTAGCCGATGTTACCAAGAGGAGAGTACCGATCAGCCCATATTGGAAATGTTTTGTTTTCTTGTGGCCATGCCAACCAAAACCAAGAGGCTAGAGCGTGAGGGGAGCCTCAGCAACATGTTATAGGAAATCACTAACAAATGATTTACCTAAAAACAAACAAACAAACTTGGCAGGAGTTGCAGCCTTAATGAGCAAGATCTTCAATTATCTGAAAGACTTCCCAATTAAACAGGGATTCGATATTTTTTCTCTTTCTTCAGATGCTTTTCTACTTCTGCACAGAAACGGAAAGTCATGACTAAAGGTGATGAGGCCCCTGCTCCGATTCTCACGGAGAGGCCAAGAATGGCCTGCCATGTTGCAGGCATGAAGCATGGCCGTTAACCCACCTCACCTAGGGGTTCCCTTGTAGATCACAGGACTGGGTGATATTTGAAAGCCCAGAGGTGGGGTCAGTAGCGAGGAGCCCAAATGCAAAATCCTTGGTTCTGGAAGTGCCTGGGATTGTTCTGGCACCTTCCAGTCACCATCAGCTGCCATCTTGACGCTTAAAGATGATCTGCAGGTGGCTGCAGTTCGTTTTTAGCCAGAGAGTGCCTACGGTTTTTGACCACTATTTCATCTACCACATCATTCACAGAGACAGAGCTGCCATGTCATTGGTCCCATTTTACAGATGGCCAATAACAGAACCCGGGAATCCTGGTTCCTGGGCAAATATTATACCCACGCAGCAAGACTCAGCATCTAATTGACCATGTGGACCACTGTTTGGAATAAGAAGGTAGTAGGAATTTGAAGCCTAGCTGCTGGTTACTTACTGATGAAGGTGGTAGGCCCTGAAAATTGAGGAAGGGAGACACATTCGCACAAGACTCTTTCCTATTTCAAGTTCCCTTCTTCGGCCACGTCGACGCAGCCAGATGTAATAGACTACATCGGTATGTGCCTCCGCTGAATTCCTCCTGCAATGGCTGGAACGCTGAGAAAGATGGATCTGTCTCAGAGGGTCACTTTGGTGATGCTGGTGGGTGTGACTACAAGCGCCTCGTGACAAACAGGGGAATCCTACGTACACCTTGTTAAGGAAGATCTCCCCGAGGATAACATAAACTGATTTTGAGATAAAACAACAGAGTTCTTCAATAAAAAGCACAAAATTCAGTCCAAGAACAGGATCTGAAGAGCACAAATGAAAACATTAAGAATTAAAATAATTAAATAAATTAAAAAAAAAAAAAAAAAGACCCAGAGAGGCCTCCCAAATTTCACACTGACAATTGAGATGTCCAGCCTCGGAGCTGGCTGCCCCAGGGTATTGGGAGTCCCGACAAAGACTGGGAAAAGCTGTCTGGAATGCTGTAGAAGGCATTTTTCCCAGTGCGGTGCTCCAACCTCTGCATCAAAACCACACAGCGCTTGGTAGAAATGCAGGTGCCTGGGTCGTGGCCAGGAATGTTGATTTGGAATGTCAACAGGTGGGCCCGGGGAATCTGCTGGTGATTCTTCACACACTAGGGTTCGAGAACCGCTGGGTGACTGCCATGGGTCAGGGGCATGATGTGATGCTGGCTAAGATGTCATCCCACCCATCCAAGTCTCTAACGCTATGAGTTGATCCAGGATACTTTATTTCCTCCATCATTTTTGAACTGCTTGTTTTTAAAGAGCCGCGTTCTCTGCACACGTTCTTCCCCACATTAAGCGTTCTCTGCACTGGGCCTGACCCCACCTGCCGAAACTGCACATGGGCTGTATTTGACAAGTGTCTCTTCAATAGCACGGAGGAGCACAATGCATTCCTCGGCGTGACCCAAATGTCCTGTTTCCACACACTGCCCTGCCCTGCTCATGTTTTGGAAATAAGAGTGCACTAGGAGAGGGAAGGGGTCCAGGCCTTTGCAAACACATCTATCTCCTGGGTGTCAGAATGAGGATGGGGCACAAAGAGGACGTCGCCGAGGACAGCAGGGCTGGAGGGGTGGGGCGGGGCGGGGCCCGAAAAGGGAGGAGCCCGGGTGGCTGCCTACAGGTGCAGCTGGTGCCACATGGCGATCTGCCGGCGAGGGTTCTTGAGCATCTCTTCCCAGTGGCTGCGCTCGGAGCCTGAGGCGTGCAGGCCCAGGCTGCAGTGGCCAAGCGCACAGCTCTGCCCCTCCTCATCCTGGCCCAGCACCTCCAGCTCCACGCTGGAGGCCTGCAGCAGCTCATCAGGCAGCTCGAACATGATCATCTCGTTCCATACGGGGTTGATCTTGTGCTTGGCCCGTTTTGTCTGCTTCTTCTTCAGCTTCTGCGCCTGGTGCTTTAAGGTCACCTTGACAGAGACATCTGGCGGGAGGAGAGAGACGGAAGGGTGAGCCTGTGGGGTGTGGTGGGCCCAGGATGATGCTCCCTCTTAGGGTTGGAGAGACAGGGTCTCCGGCTGAAGATTTGCACTGAGACTCCCTCTCTCCACACCCCGCAACCCTCACTGTGCCTCCCTCTCACCGGGCCATGCGTTCACTCAACAATTAGTAAATGCCCACCGTGAGGCACTAGACATGGGGATACAGTAAAAGTTCCTGCCTCCATAGAACTTAGGCCGTAGTGTGGAAAACCCGCAATAGTACATTACATCAAGGTGGTCATTGGGTAGCCCATGACTGGATCAAGCTGGAACCACTCCCTGCCATGAGCCCTTCCAAGTGTCTTCATGTCCCACATCAACCCAGGTCCCGGATAATGGCTCAGATGTACTACAGCTTGATCTTCAACTCAGACCCGCAAAATGAAGCCATCCCCACGTCTTCATCCCCTTGGTTCTCCCTCTGGGCATTTTTGTTGATTATTAAGATAGAAGGTCTCCTTCTGGTTGATTGAGTTCTTCTCCTCTATTGTTTTATAAATTTTACTGGCGCACCCCAGTTCATGTGGAGGGTGAGGGCAGACTGCGTGGACCCCCACGGGCACCGGGCCAATAGAGCTGCCTCCCACCCCCACCCCCCACCCCCGCCCAAGGATAGCGGCACGGGTCACAGGACAAGCTTGCGTGGAACATCACCAGGCTCAGGAGTCGGATTATGTTTTCATTAGTCAAGGTTCCCAAAGCTAATGTAAGAATAATTGTTCCTCAGTATTTATGGCTATAATTATCACCCCCCGGGGCGGCCAGTTTATTTCAGCAGATAGAGTTGAGAGACAAAGTGTTGTGTCGTAATTGTCCTGACAGGAGCTTTTAAAAAGAGCAGGAGGCAAAGAATTGTCTGGAGGGGACGAGGAAAAGCACTGAATGCTGGCCTTCGGCTGGGGGATCTGTCGGCAAGACCAGCCCATCTGATTTCATTTGCCCAAAATTGTTTGCTCAGAGATTCTGAACGCGGTGGTAATTCTTTCTTTGTATCCTGCTATAAATACCTGGTTATTTATATCCTGCTCTGAGCACTTGGCATCGGGTCCAGGTATCATACTGCTAGCCAGTGCCGTCCTCCTGCTCTGACAAGAGAGCCTGTTTGGTCCCCAGGACTCAGGGGGTCTGTCTGTGCCGGGGTATCCAGAAGGAACAACTGAGGCTTCCAGAATGCTGAAGAGATGCTTACTTGGGTATATGGGGCACAGACGCCCGAAGCTTCAGTCCGCCTCAGCCCATGCACCCACACACCTTCTGCCCGTGCCCACACTCAGCTGGTGTGGGGATGGCAGGTTGACAAAGACTGAGAAGACAGAAGAGACTGGGGTTGGGTGTGGGGCACACAGCAATGGCGAGCTAAGACAGGAGGACAGCCCGGCCTTCCCGACACCTGCCGGTGAGGTGAGTCCAGCCTGGTGTGGGGGGCGGGCTTCGTTTCCTCCAGATACCGCCCTTCGTGGCTACAGTCCAATTCCTGGCTTCCTCTGACCCACGGGTGAGACCGGCTCTCCGCATGTGGATCTGCAAGGTCAGGAGCTGCAAGTAGCTCATACCCGGGCCCGATGAAGGGATTGGCCCAGGAGTATACGGAAATGAATTTAAAGAAGGGAGTGTGTTCTCACTCACCCTTCCCTAGGAGCGCCTTGGACTGGTTAGAGTGGAGGTTCTTGGCCTTAATGAGCACGACCAGGAGGCGGTTGGCAGCCGGGAGGTAGCTAATGGACAGAAGGACCTCTCCAGTTCCTGCAGAGGGCTCCTGAAACAGAAAAGAGGGTGAAGGAGGGGGGCTTCACTTAGGGGTGGCTTCTGACCCATCGGCTAATGCTGAGGCTGGGGTCACACTGGACTTGTCAGGCATCCTAGAAACCATTTACCCACCAACGCTGCTTTCTTGCTGAAGGGAGGACACAGAGGAATTACAGGTAGCGTGTGCTTCAATAAGAGTTTCTCATCTGCCACAAAATGTGATTTTCCGAATATCATATATTCAAACCCGACATATAAAACAGATTGAAGAGACGCCGCTTAGGATGTGGCAGGGGCAGAGGGCCAGGACCCCTTCTCACCCTCCACCAGCACCCCCAACACGTTCTTGGGGTATCTTTATAGAACACTAGGGTTCTAGGGGACACAGTTTGGGAACCACTGCATCAATCGGTCAGGCGCCAGGAGCCGCAGGGAGGTGTGATTCATTACTCTGTTTGAGAAGACAATTCCTTCCAGCCCCTGTAGGGCTGAGAGTCAATAATGTGATGTACGGATGCTGAGCGGGGCCTTGCTTGGTCAACAGAATGGCCAACTGTGTCAACAAAAAAGCTGGGCACGCAATGGTAGGAAGGGCACCAGAGGCCACTGGCAACAAGTATGATCTGCAGGAGGTGCGGATGCCTCTGCCAAGCCTCAGCATGCCTCGCCTCCTTCAGTGGCTTTCCAGAGCATCTCCACTGAAATTCCGACAAGCATTTGTTTGGAGTTTCAACATATCCCCGGAGGGACAAAAATGACCCAAAGAGCCGCCCTGACCCCAGGAGGAGGCAGACGTCACAGTGGTGCTAAGGGTGTAGACCCTAGCACCGGACCATCCGGGTCTGAGCTCCGATCCTGCCATTCAGGCGCTGTGTGCGCTCCGGCATGCGACTTCACTTCCCACGCCTCCAGGGCCTCATCTGTAAAATGGGAATAATAATACAACCACCCAAAGGGCCTGGCCCACATGAAGCGCTTTGAGGATCACCATCGTCATCAAGGAAGGAGAAGCAGCCCTTTTCGAGATAATGATTAAGTGGGTATATTGTCTCTGGATGAATAAGAGCCAGTCTGGGCTTTGGGAGTGAGGCCGGATGAGGCTGGCCAGCCCTCTGCCTGGGTCACCCTTTTTCTCCGGGGCGGGGAATGTCTTCAACATGACCCCAATGATTCAACTGGCCCTAAGTAACTAGTCACGTGACAAAATGATTTGGGAGCTACCAGGGACTTTGGCAAGGACATGAATCATAGCAGCGAAGATTAATTAAACACTTACTATGTGCTAGGTGCAATTGCATTATCAATCCCATTAGGCTGGAAGCCCCACAAAGCCATTCCCCAGCACACAGCATACAGCTGACACACAATAAATATTTGTGAGAAAGTAGGGTGAGACCTCCTACTGAATCTTGACAACAACCCTAGCAATACTAATCTTGTTCTCATTTTAAGCATAATACCTTGACGCTGGAGAGGGCACTTCGCCGCCTGAGGTCACATAGCCAAAGGAAGGGAAGTAGCAAAGCTCACCCTTGAATGGAGGTTTGGTCTGATACGGCAGCCCAAGTCCTTACCCGGAGCTTTCCCGGTGAAGGAACTAGGCCCACGGACCTGTCCAGGCACCCAGAGGGATGGGCCCCAGCCTCCTGATTCTAGATCACTTCTTGGAGGTCCACGGTTGGCCTGGGCTGTAGCCACAGAATGATTCAGCGTCCTGCTCCCCCAAAGCCAGGCAAGAGGAACCTGGGCCCGTCAGCCTGTGAAGGGCTCGTCACCTTTGTGTAGGGGTGCCAAGAGCCCCGGGGGAGCCCCACTGGCTGTACCAGCCTGATAATTTTAGCAGCCTCTGCCTCCTCAGCTCTGCTGCTTCAAGTACCTGTCTGCAAAAATAACTCTTTCTTCACCCTCACCCTGCCTCCCAACTTTCTCTTGGGCTCTCAATGAATCATCCAAGATGCCCTTGGAGTGGGGTGCTCTATGATCCATGGTGACGCACACGCCAGTGTTTGGTTGAGCATCTTCCGGTGAGAACTGGGGCATGGATGGCCCCTGTATTAACCCATTCTGGCCTAGAGGAGAGAAGCTTTGGGGCTGCGGCCACAGAACACTCCACCCACCTTGTTCACCTCAGCCACACCTCCGAGCTGGGGCCAGGGACCACCCCCCACCCCCGGACCTGCCTCAGGGCACCAGCTCCTAGGTTGGCCAGCTCGCTGCCCCTGACATTGCTCACCTGTGGTGGGGGGGGGGTGTATCTTTGAGGCACACTGTACCTGTGATGCTAAGGAGAAGGCACGTGCCCTGAGGACAGGGCTTAGTCTTAATTACCACTGTGTCCCCAAATCCTGGCCCGGGGCCTGGCACACCCTGGAAATCCGGCAAGGTATTCGGGGATGAAAGGATGCATTTTGCTCTTCTAGGGGGAGGGACAGCAGGTCTGAGACTTCCAGCTAGAAGTCTCCAAAGCCCTGGGGGAGTTCCTCCTCCTCCAGAGAAAGCTGGTTTACCAGCTGAATGAACCACAAGCCTCGATCCTCGATCCTCGGCTGTGATTCCAAATCACACACTCATTAGGGAGCCTGCTGCAGAACAGCCGGGCTCCAGCTGAGAGTGGCTGTCAATTTTTATCAAGTTTTAGAGCCTGGGAAAGAAAGAAAAATAAGACGAGGAAGAGATGATAGCCAAATGGGGAGCAGGTGGGGAGTGAAAGTGTCCGGCAGGAAAGGTCCCAGCGGAAGGCGCCTCGTAGGCACATGGCACCGTGGCGAGGGGACAGCACCAGACTCAGGACCAACCTGGCCACAAGGCCGAGTTGGCGGTGTCCCAGCTGGGTGACCCTGGGTGGGTTATCCCACCACTCGAAGCCGCCATCCCCACATCTGTAGGCAGTCACAGTGTCGTTTCTGCCTGGCTGCTCTGGGAAAGGACCGAAGTAAAGTTCTAAGCACAGCAACTGACAGATCATAAGTACTCAAAAATGAATGCCCTTTGTAGTATTTTTACTACTTGAGCACAGGAGCCAGCAAACGTTTTCCGTAAAGGGCCAGGTAGTAAATACTTGGGGTTTTGTAGGCTATGCAGTCTCCCCATAAGGCACTGATCAGCTGGTTGAGACTGGTCCCCCAGAAGCCTCCCTCTAGGCTCCCCTGTGGCAGGCCCTTGGATGAGGCCTTGACCCGAGGGCCTGAATAGCCACACACCGTCCTATGGCCTTGACCTCTCCGACCCCTCGCTGCCCAGCCCGTGAGGAATGCCCAGTCCCACCCAGTCCCACCACCCCAAGCTCCACCAACGGGTTTCAGCTTCCCTGGCAAGAGCTTACCCTACCTTAACGGAAGTCTTCAGTTCACCCCACTGGGCGGTCCCCAGAGGCACAGACCCCCCGTCCAGGCCCAGGCGGAGCTCCCCAAGCACGCTGTGGCGGGAGAAGCGGTCGCAGGTCCGCAGGGTCAGCAGCAGCGTGGCTGTGGGGAGCTCCTCCTCCGCCAGGGGGAGCGCCAGGCCTTCCTCCCAGGTGGTGTGCCGCCGCCGCTTCTTCAGGGCCGTCTGGGCCTCCACCGTGCCGGTCCTGTTGGCCACGCTGCCTTGGACGTAGCAGTCACAGCCTCCGTCGTGGTCACTGGTCACAGCTGCAGCCAAGGAGACAGCAACACAGACGTGGGACTTGGCAAGGACAAGGGGAGGCGAGCGGCACGGGCCCGCTTGCAGCGGCCGTGTCCAGCTTCATGGTCATGACCCCAGGTGTCCGAGAGCCCCAGGGCTGACTACCGTGGCTTTGTGGAATCGCCTTAGAAACTGGAACTCCCCTGAGGCGGCCCATGGCAGCGCCCGCTGGTCCCCTGAGAACAGGGACGGGACGGGGTGCGTCCCGGAGCCCTCCCCGCCTCATGACCCTGACGTGTCCCCAAGATGCCAGGGCCCACGAATGAACGGCTGATGCCTTTTGTGCTCTGATCCTGCACTCGTTTGTTCTGTACTTTAAATACTTAGCACACAACCATTTGTGATGTGCATCGCTTGGCCCCTACCTCTGTTGTTTTCTTATTCCGAACTTTGGTGTTTTTAATGCTTCCCAAGGTGGACTTATTCCAGAAACTTGTACCCCTGGTGCTTTTATGGCTGGCTGCTCAATGATCATCTGAGAAAGGGGAGCTGATCTTTCCCAGGAAGAGAAGGGGAAGGACTGAGGCCATGTATCCTGCTAGAACTCTCCACTGTGCTCCAGGGGAACTGGGTTTAGTCCTGGCTCTAGCACCAATAGCTGGAGTGATCTCAGACAAGTCACCTGAGGTTGCTAGACCTCAGTTACCTAATCTGTTAAATGGGACTATTGTGAAGACCAAATGTAATAAACTATATGAAAAGGCTAAAAAATCTTGAAAGAGAATAAAAAGGAAAAACGCCCCCTAAAACTATGAAATTTAATACAAAAGTCTAATTTCTCCTGCTCACAGCTCCCAACTCCCAGGAGCCATAGAATGCCCATTGTTAGCCCCCAAGTCCTTTGCAAAGTCTCAGCTTTGTTTGCTGATGTTAAAGTGAATTGTTGGGGTAGAGACCAGGGACATCCTGACCCCCTTGGAAAGACTGCCCGGTTCTTGGATTACAGAAACTTCGCTGTCCATTCAGAACACCCTCCATATCTAGCACAAAGCCCCATTCAATGTCAAAGGCACCTGCAGCAGAGCTAGCTAGCTATTCACCAAAACCCCCTTTCCCTTTCTGCTGAGCACCCGCTGAGCCACACTTCCCAGGCTCCTTGGCAGTCAGTGGCCATGTGACTGAGTTCCAGGAGCGAGCGGGACTGATACGTGTTCTGTGCAGGTCATGGCTTTTAAGGGACAGTTGCGCTCTCTCCCTCTCTTCCCACCTGCTAGATAAAGATGACAAGGAAGCCTGAGAGGATTGGGGGGCCCCTGATGGAAGGAGCCTGGCCCCTGAATCACCACTTGGAGCCAAGATGTTTGCCAACCAGGATCTTCCACTTTGGATGTTATAGGAGAGGAGGGGGGAACCCCACACATTTCAGGGTCTGTTGGTTACAGAGTGCTCCCTCCAGCCACAGCTCCTCCAGGGGAGACGGGCACATGGAAGCCCGTGCAAGTCAAATAAAAGTAATACCTTCCAGATGAGTCACAAACAGTTCTGCCTTCTGCTGGTCATAGTCCACGCGGTAGTGAAGTTTGGGGGCTTGGTTCCAACTGGCGGCCTTCTCCGGGTTCCAGGCTTCCATGACACACACATCCTCCACCACGCCTGTTAAGAGAGGAAAGGCTGTCACTGCCACCCACACTAGGGTCCCGTTTTCCAGATCACATCTTTCCCACCTGTCACCTATGCTGTGAATGCAAACCGAAAGTTCCCTAGCTGGGGGCCAAGTCGTGGTGGCCATGCCAGGGTGACACCTGTGGTCCTGGGATGACACTGTAAGGGACTGTCACCACCCAGTGGGCAAGGCATGGGCTTTGGTGTCACACCTGAGGTGCCCTGTAATAGTTATTTGACCCCGGACAAATGACTTCGCAGTTTCCTCATCTTTACCGTGAGAGTGATCATAGTTCCTCTTTCCTAGAGTTATTTGCATGAAATGAAATAAAGCGGGGAAAGTACTTGGCCCAGGGCCCGGCCCCTGGTGAGCTTTCAGGAAGGGAAACTGTCACAGCCTGTGTGGTCCAGGCGTCCTGTTTCTGAGCTCAGCCCATCTCCAGCTCCGCCTCTCCCAGAGTCTCACCCCTGCTCCCCAGGTGTTCACGGCTGGAGATCAACGTGAGAGAAATGAGTCAGGAGATGTTGGAGGGGGGTAAGGTCAAGGGTCGTGGACATGACCTCAGTGCAGGTCCAGTAAATGCTTGTGGAATGAATGAATGAGCGTAGCCTTAGTTCAGAAGTTCCTAAACCCACAGAGATTGCTCATTCTGCCCCCTTGCACAGGAGCCAAACATCTGGAAGACCGTCATCAGTCAAACATACTACAAGAATTAGAGGGTCCAACAGCTGTAGCAGACTCCACTTGAGGCAAATTGGAACTGTAAAAATTTTGATTTTCAGATCAAATTGAGAGAGTAGATACTTGAAGGACTATTGAACTTTCAAAATGGCTTGTTACGGGGTTCGTGCAAATGGTGAACAATTCCCCTGGCACATCTAAGTCAGGAACAGATCGACCAGGCTGTGAGCAATGCGTGAAGCGAGACCAACACGCACACAGGACCCACGCGGCTTCCGAGGGCGCCACACGGAGCACCACAGCGGGGTCGATGCCAGAAGGGGCCTGCCTGGCACCAAGAGCTCTCCGCTTTCAGAGGACCTCAGCCTTCAACTTCAAAACCAGATCAAAACCAGACCAAAGCCGGCACCACTTGGAAAGGCAGGGAGAGATTCAGCTTCTAGAAATGGGACGCTGAGCTCCACGGGGCCTGAGGACCATCACGGGTGAGGGCAGGACATGTTCAGCATCATGGGGACAACGTCCAATCGATCTGGCATCCCCCTCTCCTGCACGCCCTTGCCTCTGGTCAATATTTGCTGAAGAAACAATTCCTGATAGCTTTCTGTGGGGCCAGTGCTTGGCTTCCGGGGTGGGAAAAGGAATGAGGAATGACGACAGAGAGAAGACGGGCTAATGCTCTGAATTCTTCAAAGTTCCAGACTCTGACACGCTCTCCTGCTCTTCCTCGTGGAGAGCATCCAATCCTGGCTTCATCTGGGCTCTGGAGGAATTAGGATTCTGATCACCCACCCTCAAGGCTCCTCAGGCAAGCTCTTCCCCACCCTTCAAGCGTAAGCTCTCAAGTCCTCAATGGGTCTGTTTTCATCTATTTAAAACGTAGGCTGCTTGGGGCACCTGGGTGGCTCAGTCGGTTAAGCGTCTGCCTTTGGCTCAGGTCATGATCCCAGGGTCCTGGGATCGAGCCCCGCATCGGGCTTCCCGCTCAGCGAGGAGTCTGCTTCTCCCTCTCCCTCTGCCCCTCCCCCTGCTCATGCTCTCCCTCTCTCAAATTTTAAAAATCTTTAAAATAAAATGTAGACTGGAGGCTAAAAGTGAAGCAGCTTCGTTCATGCCACAGACACTTTTGTTAATTTGTTCTTGAAGAAATTCCTGACTAATCACTGTGGTCCTGGGTGGGTTTTGCGGGGGGGGGCTGTTCACCGGCCAGCATGGGGTACAGTTGGACCCAGGCCAGGAGATGCATAAAAATCGGGGTCCAAGTCAGAACCAGTTCTGCTGCTTCCTTTTCTGCCATCTCCCTGTCCAACCCCATAAACAAAACCCCCAAACCACACAACACCCCGTTCTTCCAGCTGTATTTCTTGCCTCCTTATGAGAGCATGCTCCTCTGGGTTAGGGACAGTGTCTGCTTGGCGCATCTGCCCCAGTGCCCAGCATAGCACTGTACCCCTAAAGGTGTTACATCTTGAAGTCCATACTGATGAGAAGGAAAAGAGAAAACACCACAGTAACAGCATGTTGTGATCGCGTCCTTTGTGCCACTCCTTGGGCTGAGCGCTTTATATGCATCATTTTATTCACACTTCACAACAGCCCTCCGGGGTACATAATAGTGCAGTCCCATTTTATGTATGAGGAAACGGAGGCCCAGAAAGGTTAGCAACATGACTGAGGCCACCCAACGAGTACATGAAAGGGCAGAGAATTGAACCCATGACTCCGAAAGCCCGTGATCTAATCTCGACTCCTCTACACGACTTGAAAAGGACTCCTCGCTGCCCAGTGGGAAGCCGGGGGCCCTGGAGGGAAGCAATGTAGCAATATGTCTGCAGGAATAAAGCACTGTGGTTCCGAGGCCCTGGGCCCACCTGCTTGCCCAGCGTCAAATGCTCTGGACGCTGGGGCTGGCCATGCCCAGCATCTACACAGACGCCTTTAGTCTACCCCCCGCCCTCCCCGGTGCTGGCTAGAGGGGAACCACAGGCAGGAGACCCCTACCGTTCTGAGGAAGGATGAACAGCTCCTCTGTGACCTGCCTTTTGAGGCGGCAGTCGTTCGGGGCCTGGGGGCTGGCTGGTGCAGCAGGCTCCTCCGTGGTCCTCAGTGTGTAGTCTGCATAGTTGATGACCTCCGGGGCTGTCACAACTGGCCTGGGTCCGTAGATGTCTGGGAACTTGAGGAGGGCTCGGGGCTGGACGGGCTCCGTGGACTTTTTAACATTGAACTGCAAACACACATCACTCTGATTAGGCCACGAGAGGACCTCCTGCCCGGGTGCTACACATTGAGGGGAGACCCCATGACGTAACCTGCCATGAGAGGCACAGTGAGGCCTGTGGTCCCTTTCTGCTCTTAGGGGTGCCACCCCGGAAGCCGAAATGTCACCTCCAAACCCACCAGAATCCACGACGTCATGAGCGGTGGCAGCGCATGGTGAGATTTCAGCCCTGTTCAGCTGTCCCTCTTCCCCCTGTCCCTGATCCTCTGCCGTGCTCCCAGGGGTTATCACCCGGGCCACTGGCCTCTGGTCGCTTCCCCCTTCCTCTTCCACCCGCCGGCTCAGAGGTGCCAAGGGTCCCACCACACTTGGAACAAAATCCAAACTTCTAGCAGCCATCTGGAAGCACTTGCCCGACCCGGCCGTACTCACCTTTCTGACGTTGCCCCAGAATCCTCCCTTCAAACCACTGACCTCCCTGCTTCTCAAACAGGCTGAACTCTTTCTGGGTCTGATTTCTGGCCCCCAGCCCCTCCACACCTGCTGTAAATTAAGTCCCTCCCCCACGCCTGTCCCTTCCCTTTCCCCATATCCTGCTCTTTGCCTGACAGCCTTGAGCTCACCCTATATCGCTGTGGTCATAGGTTGGCCTGTTTGTATGCCTTGTCTTGCTCCTTCTGTGCCCCTGGTGCCTGCAGTGTCTGCTCACGGGGAGTATGCAGTACGAAACTGGCTAGGGCTGCCGTGCTTAGTTGCATGGTTTGTGCACTGCACAAAGGAGCCTAGAGGAGAGGCCAGTGGGGGGTCAAAATGCAGTCTGTGCACCACTTGCCCAGCTGTGCACCCTGAAGTAGGGGCTCAGTCCTTGGGGAAGGAAAGGCATCTTTTTCTTTACACCAAGGGCAGCTTGCTTGTGAAGCTTTAAGTCTGCAGGGCTGCCTCACACAGATGAGTGGAAACTTCCATCTTTGCCTCCCTCAGGGACTTGAGATATCTTCTACCTGACGGACTCAAACTTATATCCCAGGCAGCAATATCAGAGGTCTGCCCAGTCCCCAGGAAATCAGGGACTGAGGGCTGGACCTGGAGCTCAAAATGCTGGCTGGGTAGCCCCCAAAATAGCCCTCAAGTTAGGGCAGGTACAGAGCCATGGCAGAGTCCCCTGAGAAGCCTCCTGCTTCCCTCGCCAGTCCTCCCGTCTCTGTGGCTGCTGGACGGGCCAGCCAGGGGACAAGGCTGCTTCCTCCAGTGACAGGGGTAACCCAGGCGCTGGGGCATGGGGGCAGGGGGGGGTAATGCAGTCCCAGAGGGGGACAGCACTTACAAGTTCACACTGTTTCAAAGAGTGTGTTTACAGTGTTTGCACACTCTACATTCCACTCTCCCGGGATAAATCCTGGACATTCTGCCCTCACTGCCACTCTGTCCCCGACCGTTCTCGAGGGAGGCTGGACCTTGGTGACAAGGCATTCCTAACTCATCCACTGGATAGCACCAGGGCTCCAAGGGCCACAGGCAGGAGCTGATGTCTCCTGGCCACCGTGCGGGTCGCTACCCTTTTTCTCCCGAACTCCCTAAGGGACTTGGAGGGGGTAAAACACTTCATTCCTCTCTTGGAAATGCTGCCCAGTGGACGACAGTACAACCAAGCCAGGGCACCTCTATCCTGATCTCTGCTGAGTGTGCCTGCCACGGGCGGGCTCGAAAAGCATTTCGGACTTCAATGGAACGAAGCTGCCCACGAGCAGACAGTGGGGAGGGCAGCAGGATTATCCTAGATCAGCCTGGCCCCAAAGCTCACTGCCACTGTGGCTCCCGACCCCCTTCCCACCCTCCAGCCTTTGCCAGGCCCAACACTCACCCATCAGAAACGTTTGTAACTGTTAGACACAGTGGGACCCATATGATTTGCAAAATCGGGTCCCCTTTGCACCCCCACCCCATTGACCATGTCACTGGGCATCAAGGGGCCTGGCTCCTAGTGCTGACTTGACCGCCAGAGCTGAGCAACTCTTGGCAGGTCATTTCACCTCTCTGAGGTATCCCCTCGAGGGACAGGTGATTTCAAGGCTGGTTCCACTCCCACATTCTGAGCTCCGAAGAGGTGGGCGACACAGCTCTTGATTTGCAGGTGCAGGTGAGTTGGGGAGTCGATCACCCACTGGACAGTAAATAACAGGTGTATTTGGCAGTTGGGGCGGCAGTTACCAAAGTGGGCAGCAGGCAGACTGTGCATGTGGCCATGGGGGGGGGGATGGTGCATGCAGGGGGCAAGCAGGGGTCTGGGAGGCCAGGGAGGGTGTCAGGGAGGAGCCAGGGCATGAGCTAGACCTTGAAGGAGGGGCGATTGGAAAGCGGGGTGGCGAGTCGGAGGGTTGGGGGGGAGGCTGTGCTCCTGACTTGAGCAATGACTGATGTCCCCATGTCTTTTTATCCTCCACAAAGTGGCGCCCACCTCCAATATTTCATCCAAGTCTGGGTTATCTTTATCATACTATCGCACAATGAAGAAACAGAGGCTCAAGGAAGTTCAAGGTCATATAACTTACAAGTGGCGTATAATTGGGCCTCCAGATACTTTGACTCCAAATTTGCATCACTTCCACAGCCCTGCGGCTGCTTCTCAAAAAAAAAAGTCCCCACGTGTCTTGGATGCTGAACGCTAAGTGGTGACAGCAGCTTCCAGGTTTGGGCCCCTGCTGTTCCCTGCTGTTCCCTCCTGTTCATCAGCCCGAAGGCACTCAGCTTCCCACTGGCTGCTGGACACCCAGCCCCTTCTCGGAGGCACCTTATCTGTCACTTGTTGGGTCCAGGACTAAGGTTGTTTGGCTGGTTTGGGGAATATTTTTATGGTTTTATATTTGATTTCATCCCAGTTCAATCACTTCAGAAGAGGCCTATGTTGATTGATTTCCAGTTTGATCAAACTTGGCTGGTTCTGCGTTTTTCATGGGAAAATAGTCATCGGGCTCATTTCTGAGTGAGGTTCACTCCGTGTTGCCTCAAGTCTCTGCAGGGCCTGGGTCGGCCTTCCTCCCTACTCAGTGGGTCTGAATTTGTGTGCCTCTAATGAGCTCAGGAGCCTGTGACAAGAGCTTAAGATGCAGCCCCAGGGCACAAAGTTGGGGTTTTCTTGTGTGTCCGCCAATATCCACCCCCTCCATGCTGCCTTTTCTCCAGATCGCCAGGTTTTCCCAGTCCCACCGTAGCCTCAGCTGTGGGGTGGCGGGGGGTGGTGGGGGTACCTGTTTAGCCTGATCTTATCAGGTCCAGGGTGCTGTTTCCACCACAGGGGTTGGCACCTGTCCTGGAAAGCCAACCAGACAGAATGGAAGGACTTACATTTCACGGTAATAGATGAGATCCTCTCCCCGCCAGGACAGGAAGCCTGTGGCCCTATCTGGCGATGACAAGATGAGCCAGCCTTAGGACAAAGTTGACATGGTGGACAGCAGGATGGAGAGAAAAAAGGAAGCCGTGTTTCCAGTGACAGTGTCCTCAAGCCACTGAGTCAACCAAGCCTGGTATCCCACCTCTGCACCGCAAGTCACACCGCGAGAGCTATATGGTCCTTATTGTTTACGCCTGCTGGGATCAGGGTCTTTGGGATTTGCAGCCGGGAGCCTCCTGAACTGAGGCACTGCATTGTTCAAGAGCATCCCAGGACACCACGACTGGTGCAGAGAAATGCCTCGGGTAAGACGCCATTCCCGCTTCCTGAATGTCGCGGCATCCGGCTGAAGGCATGTCCCTGCCCCGCCTGGGTGAGAGCCCGTGCAGACGAGAGCTCCCTGAAGTGCAGAGTGATTTATAGGCCTTCACTGGGCCCAGAGCAGAGTCTGATGGCCGCTACAGGACTCTCTCCAAGGAGGAAAAGCAGCGGCTGATTACCTATTCCGTTCTCTCGTCCAACCTTATTTATTGCATTTCAAAAGCCTCGTTCCACCACATCTTTCCAGTGCGTCTATGTTTCCACTTTTAACAGCTGGGACTTCAGTGCCCAAGAAGCAGAAAAGAGGTTTGGGAGTGAGGGAGGGGTCTGAGAAAGCATCCTGAGTGGGGCGCAAGCAAGAATGGCCGGGAAGAGGGAGGCGCCGAGTGGAGCAGACCCCCAGAGAAGGGCCTGCGCTCCAGCCTAACCCTGCATGGCAGGAGGAGCAGCATTTGGAAGTGGGGATCCTCCCTCCACTGTCCCTTGAATCCAGGGTGGAAATATCGGTGCTGAATGAATCAGGGAGAGTTTCGGGGGCGGGGGGCAGACGTCCAACAATGAGGGAAGGCCCAGTGTGCTAGCATGACAGGTATGGGGACAGGAGGCCCCTCTGATGGGTCTCTGCATATCCTCCTGGCCTTGTCTGCCTCTGGGGCCTCAGCTTACTTGCTCCTGCCCAGCAGGGACTCTGAGCAGCTTCACCAGGTCTTGTGTCACGCCCACCCCACTCCCCTCTTGCCACCTGCCCTGGGGCTTCTTGGTGGCGGCTGAGGCATGTGAGACAGCCAGGGACACTCTGGGCCCACCCAAGGGCAACCCCGATGTGCCAAGAATTAACACTCCACAGGGTCAGGGGCCCAGGGGGGCTTGATCATGGGGAGCTGGAAGCTAGACCTGAATTCTTCTCCTTTCCTCCTTCCTACACCTCCCAAAAGTATCTTCAGTCACCTCTCGGAAGATGACATCTCCAGCAATTGCCCTTGAGGCCACCACCAGCTCAGTAACACCCCTGCATGTGGCCTCCCCCCCCCCCATCTCTTCGGGCTTCCTGCTGAAGAGCAGCACAGAGGCCTCAGGGCAGGCTCAGCTTTCCCTAATCCAGGCTAAGACAGATGGCAGGGGGAGGGGGGCGAGCCTTCATTTAATGAACAAATATTTATTGAGCCCTACTACAGGCCAGGTCCTATGCTAAGTGTTAGGAACACAGAAGTGAACAAGACAGATGCTGTCCTTCCCTTATGGGGCCTGTGTGGGGAAGAAGAGAAATTAATTATGCAGTTAATGATCTGTAAAC